AGCGGCCACTGCACTCTAGTCTGGGCAACAGAGTGAGACTCCAACTCAAAAAAAAAAAAAAAGAACACAAAGGCAGACTGGACTGAATCCAAACCCAAATCCTTTCTAAAAATGGGACCCTACAAGCCACACCAAGTGCTCCAAAGAGGGGATCACATCTTCTGGTATGGCCCAGAACTGAGCCCATCTCCTCGGGTAACCTCTGATCAGCACTGAACAGAACTCCTCTCATTCTGGACAGGATACGGAGCTCAGAGGTGCTTGGGCTTGGCTGCTGTCTGTCAGCAGGGCATCCCGGCCCCTGCAGAGGTTCTTCCTTAGCACTCTGAAGAGGTATACCTGGTCACTGAAGAGACCCTTCTAGTTTATACATCAGAACTCAGTTGGTATCTACAGTGATCAATACGCTTTGAGGCCTACTATGTGGTGGGTTGTATTCTAGGCCCTGGGGGTACAACAGAGAAAAAGAGAAACAATACCTCTGTCCACACGGACCTTACAGCACATTTCACCTGTTTGTTGTCCTCCTTCTAATGGGGGAGGGCAAAGACTGACATACATCTGATGATGTTTCTCTTTATGGAGAAAAACCAAGGAGGTGGGGGAAGTACTGCAGTCTTAGATCAGGAGGTCAAGGAAAGCTCCCCTGAGCAGAGTCACAAAGGAATCAAGTGTAGGGGAAGAAGATTCCAGTGAGTGGGAATGTCCTAGTGTGCTCAAAGACTCACAAGGAGGCCAGGAGGGGGAGAGCAGAGAGCAGCAGCTGAGGCTAGAGCCAAAAAAGAAGCCCCATAAGGACCTTGGCTCTCATGGAGTGAGATGGAAGTCACTAGGGGCTTTAGGCTGAGGACTGATATGACCTGACTTTTAGAAGGATGCTGCTGGCTGCTGTGTTGAGGACAGAGTGTCAACTTCCAACAGTAGTAACTTCTTTACCTTGATAAACCACAGTAACTCCTCCAAAACACCCTTCCAGAATACACGCTTGGTTGTCAGCAGAGGAAATTCACCTGAAAAACAGTTTGTCATACAGTTTGAAGATGTATGAGAACAACATCTAACTTTCTCTAGGGAAGAAAACAACCCTGGGGGTTAAGGCTCTGGAGTAACTACAGGGGCATCCAGAAAACTGTGATTCCTACCAAGTGGGACCAGGAATCAGGGTAGAGCTCCCAGGCTGCACATCAAGTCAGTGATCCAATTCGGGTTGAAACAGCCCTTCTGAGCCCTGGCCAACTACTGGGATGTAGGAATTCCATACAGTGAGATGGTGGGGAGGGCAAGGATGCCCATGTGGAAAGGGAAAGAGCTATTATGCACTACCCAGTTAGTGTGAATCCTGTCACAAAGGTGTGAAGACAACACCCAAAATGTGCCCCAGAACCAAGCCTGAAGGCTCCTGCCAGCAGAAACTTTCTCAAGACCAGAAGATGGTAGATACTCCACTGGCCAAAACTTGAGTAGTTTTTAAGTGTTTGTAAAGCAAATTAACCTCTATTTTTTTTTTAGTATAACAAAACCAGCAACTATTTGAACATTTTCCATGCACGATCCTACTTAATCCTCCAAACAACTCTCCTTGAGGGACCATCATTATGATTTCCATTTTCAGACACCAGAGATACTACAGAAGTCTACACAGCTTACATACAAGAGAAGGCATCAAGCAATAGAAAAATGAAAGCTTATTTTTAAATGCAGTACCTATTCAGTCCACATTTTCCAACTGTATAGTTGAAATTCATGTAATATGGAAAGATTTTTCTTTTTCTCCTTATTAAGATGTGAAGTACAAGTCAGGATTAGGTATATGAGTAGTTCATATGTACGTGACGTTTGGGCCTCCAACTGGTCCTCACGTCCCCTAGTTTAGAATCAGGTACCCTTGGTGATGACACATGCCTAACCCCCCACCCCTATCAAGATCTGTCAAGCACCCGTGTTTACCACCATTACCTGATTATGTCCTCCTTTTTTATTTTTGGCACGTGGTCGCATAATGTCACCCAGGCTGGAGTACAGTGGTGCCATCTCAACTTACTGTAGCCTCAACTTCCTGGGCTCACGCTATCCTTCAACTTCAGGCTCCCAAGTAGGTGGGATTACAGGCACATACAACCACACCTGGGTAAGTTTCGGATTTTTTGTAGAGACAAGGTCTACAAAAAAGACACCGCACTACGCCTTTGTCTTCCATTTTTAACAAATGGGCAGCTGGCGAGCATGGTGGCTCATACCTGTAATCCCAGCACTTTGGGAGGCGAGAAGATTGCCTGAGCCCAGGGGTTTGAGACCAATCTGAGCAAGTTGGTGAGACCTCATCTCTACAATAAATCAAAAAAATTAGCCAGGCATGGTGGTGCATGCCATGTAGTTCCAGCTACTCAGAGGGCTGAGCCAGAAGGATTGCCTGAGCCCAGCAGGTGGAGGCTGCAGTGGCCGTGAGTGTGCCACTGCACTCCAGTCTGAACAACAGAGTGAGACTCTGACTCAAAACAAACAAAAATATGCAGAAACTGAAGACCAGAGAAGTAAAGTTAAGTCGCCCAATGTCTCAGCAGAGGTGTGTTAAAAACTAGGTCTGTGGCTCATCAGAGGCCACTACACTTGGAGCTGCAGGTAAGAGGATCCCTCTGCTCAGGCAAAACTTCCCTAACTGTCCAAGGCAGATCAGCCACACCAGCTGGTGTGTTTTTCAGTTTCTAGAATGGGTGTGGGGTGAAGGGTTCTTCCCCTGACTACAGTGAATCTGCTTCACCAACAGTAAGTTCCCCACTCTCCTCCCCTGTGCCAAGGATGCTCTGGCTTATGGTAGAAGTCAATGTCAGTCGCGGGCTTTTATATACTATGGAGTCCCCTTCCCCACACAGCAGGTGCTCAATCCAGGAAGACAGGATGGTGTGACTTTAGGGAAGGTCAATTTGCTGCCTACTGTTCAGTGCCCACCCTACCCCGCCCTTTTGTCTTCCGAAAGCTAAGAACTCGAACAAGATACTTCTTCCCCGGGCCATCCTATTTTAAAGGAAAAGAGGGCTGAGTGTGGTGGCTGTAATCAAGCACTTTAGGAGGCCGAGGCGGGAGGAAGGCTGAGGTGGGAGGAAACTTGAGCCCAGGAGGTCGAGGCTGCGGTGAGCAGCGATGGTGCCAATCCACTCCAGCCTGGGTGACACAGACCCCGACTCAAATAAATAAACACATCAATACGTAAAATAAAATTAACGAGGAAATGGCAAACAGAACTTCTGTTCGGACTCCTGAGTTCCTTTTCCCAAGGCTTTAGGGGAAAGCTGCTTCGTGGGGACCGGATGGGAGGGACCCCATCAGGAACCACCAGTTCCCGCCCGCAGCCGGTCAGTTCTCTTCCTCCTCCCGCCGCCGCTGCCCCGCCCTCGCCATTTTCGCTCCATTTTTTGAAAACTTCGCAAAGCGGAAGGTCAACAGGAGGGGGAGGGGCAAGACCCGGACTTGCAGACCCGGTGCTCGGTCAAGCCCGGGCAGCTCTCCGCCAGTCCCTAGTATGGCACCAACACCACTGGATCCACGCCCGCTTTAGGGCGAACAGCATAACCGGGGCGATCGCGGTACAGGCCGTGGAGTCGGTAGGAACTGGCTCACCCCTCCGCCGTTGCTCCTCTCCGTGTGATCCTACACTAATAACCATGACTCTGACCCGAGGCTCAGTTTCGGCATCCGTCGAGTGGGGAGAAGGATGGTTCCCTCCCTCGGAGGACTGAGGTCAGGACTAAAGCGGACCGCGGCCCTGGGCAGGCGGCCCCCGAGGCGCGCCTCTCCCCCGCCCGCCCGTCCCGCCGCGGTCACCTCTCAGGTTGTAGCGGGCCTGCATGCCGAACACCGACAGGGTCCCGGTGCCTGTGCGGTCGTCCTTCCGGACGCCGCAGCGCAGGATGTGCTCGACCTGCTCCAGGTACTGCAGCTCCCCGTGGGGCGGCCGCGGCTCGGCGCCCTGCTCCTGCGCGGCGGGCGGCGAGGGTGGGCGCTGCAGCTCGGAGCCGGCGGCGGGCATGGCGCGGCGGGCAGGACGGCGGGGACGGCGACTGGCGACAAGGACCGAGGCGCGCCGGGCGGGAGAGGCAGGCGGGCTACTGGACCCCTTCCAGGCGCTCAGAATTCTCCCGCCAGCTCCCGCGCCCCGCCTCTTCCTGTTCGGCGACGTCGGGGCGGAAGCGCGGCGGCGTCTGGGAGGGGCGGGGCGCAGCGGCGTCGGGG